CTAATTAATATTTTCATACCGTTCCTGCGGTATGCGCTGTTTTTCATGTTTCCTCAAAGACTGAAAGTGTAGGAATCCCTCAGGTTGAGTGCAGTGTAGAGAGTAGCACGGCCCCTCCTCCTCCTGTTGGTGCAAGAGAGTGGTCAGTCACGTGTGTGTAGGATGGGCGAACTTAAGGAGCTTCCCCTGGAACTTACGCGATCGGCAACTGGACGTTTTTTGTCGTATTGCAACTCGTCTCTGATCTGGACTTGCACAAACAAATGCAATCATTTTCCAAAATTTAATTTATGTGAAAATATGAAGTCTGTAAATGCCCGTTAACGCAGGCCAGAGACGTTGAAGACGGACGCACAGAGAAAAATACTGTAGCAGGCAGATCACTCACTGTTCATGATGCACGAACTATTGGAAGAAAATCCTCAATATTGATTTGGGGCTTTATATGAATGTGTTTCTGAGGGAACTGACTGTCTTCAGAAAAGTTTACATGGTATTTTATTTTCATCTCTTCTCTGTATAGTTCATATTAAAGCAGTGTTTCAGCGCAGTGCTGCTTTGTTTACAGCGGTAACCAAGGAAACGCTGTATCTGGTGTTCCATGAGCGCCTCCTGCTGTCAGAGAGTGAATCTGCGTCTCATTCAGAGCATCTGCTGTTTGCTTCGTTTGGGCAAGTAGTATAATTTCACAAAGCTAGTCAGAACATTCAGTTTTTGCTTTAAATTGGGTTATTAATAAATCAAATTATGTATATATTATGTATATTCATATGAATTATATAACTAAAATTAAATAACTGTAATTACAGATTTAGGTTAAATAAAGATGTCAGTCTTTATTTTTCTTCTTTTTAGGAAACAAATCAAAGAAAAAATAAACAAATTCTACTGTTCCTAATATTCTGCATGTTGCTCAAAAACTAAATATATTGTGTTCAGCGGAATTATATATATTTTTTTTAACCCAGTCATTTAAAATAACACATTTTAGAGCTGTAACGACAATACCGTGAAACCGTGATATTTTTGCTTAAGGTTATCATACCGTCAAAAATCTCATACCGGCCCATGCCTAGTACCACAACACATGCAAATGCATTCCAAGGTGCAACGCTTCCAGGTTGTACGTCAGAACGCCAGCTCCTGTGTCAGCAGCATCACATGCATACAGAAATCGTTGAATTAAGTTGTTATTTTTGTTTTCTTTGCGCACAAAAAGTATTCTCTTAGCTTCATAACATTACGGTTGAACCACTGATGTCACATGGACTAAAAACTCACTTCACAATATCAGTTGAGTGTTTGAAATAACTTACTTTTGTGATCTGATTTGGCTTCTTTTCATAGAATGAGGCTGAAAATATTTGATAGTATTCTATACTGTAATAAATTCTATGTCGATTAGCACTGGATTATAAAAATATATTATTCTTATGAAAATACCTGAAATGGCTTGAAGATCAGAGATAAAATGTAATCGCTGTGGTCTTGTGTATATTGTCTTCAAGTTTAATCATCAGTTAAATAAATATGCAAATGATT